ACTTACTGTGCATATGCAGTGCCCCGGCTAGAGACAGTAGTAGTAGCAATTTTTATTATTCTACTAGGGGAGTCCCAACAGGCGACTGCCTTTTCACTGGGAACCCTAGGTGATGTTAACCATGTTTATGAACACAGCAAAAAAATCTGGGCCTGTCGACAGTCAGCTGAAGGAGAGTTCCGTCTGCCTGCCGCCAGAAAATAATTAGAACGCATGCCGGCATACTGCGTATGAACAAGTGGGAGAACTAAGGCTCTTTGTGCCTTGCCCCGGTCGCATTGCCCTGATAAGCAGGTGAAGCTGTACAGATGTTACGTCCCTTGTCGGTATGTTATACCGAGGCCTCACTATATGCTTGGTATTCTGTTGATACACGTGCAGGCTAACCCGACTAACTTTGACCGTGTGGAGGACCTGGCCACTCTACGTCAACTGAACATGTCCAGTGTTCTGCACACGCTACGGCAACGCTACGGCTCGGGGCTGGTGCACACGCTGGCTGGGCCGCACCTGGTCGTCGTCAACCCAATGAAGAGCATGAACCTATACACGGATAAGGTGCAGTGATGATTGTTTCTGGCAGTAACATATTTCCGAACTTACAAGTTGCGACTTCGGCGGTAATAGTCATGAAGTTGATTGTTCCAACTAGGAACACACGCTTTGGTGGTGCTTTCTTGCGGGTTTGCCGAGAGGAAGGTGCGACGTGCTCCTCGGGTGCTCCGGACGGCAGTCGTGAGTCAGTCAAGTGACAAGTTCGGCAAGAAGCGTGTGTTCCTGGTTGGAACAATCAACTTCATAACTTATTTCCCCTGATTATAAGTCGCATCCCCTTCTTTGCTGGCCGGGCCGCACCTGGTTGTCGTCAATCCCATGAAGATGCCCACAGTTAGAACCATGGTGAATTGCTCGTTCCAGGCAACCGTAGAACCATGGTGAATTGCTCGTTCCAGGCAACCGTAGAACCATGGTGAATTGCTCGTTCCAGGCAACCGTAGAACCATGGTGAATTGCTCGTTCCAGGCAACCGTAGAACCATGGTGAATTGCTCGTTCCAGGCAACCGTAGAACCATGGTGAATTGCTCGTTCCAGGCAACCGTAGAACCTGGTAACCCAGCTAAGTAGATGCACTTATCAGTTCAACACCTCTCCCTTGTTCTGTCTCTTGCGTTGCTCTGCGTACAGATCATCCAGCGTTTCCGCAGTGACCGCACCCTGGTCAACAAGCCGCACATATTTGCGGTGGCGGAGAAGGCCTACCAGCGTCTTCGCACCACACACCAGGACCAGTCCATCATACCGATGGGGATCAGCGGCTCCGGGAAGTCCGTGTCCATCGGTCACGTCCTGCGCTACTTCTCCATGCTACCCAAGACCAAGGGATGCATGCTGACACGTAAGCCCTTTTCTGTGTCTGCCTGGGTTTTTTGTCTGTGCATGTGCCGGGGTTGTTTGTCTGTGCATGTGCCTGGGTTGTTTGTCTGTGCATGTGCCTGGGTTGTTTCTTGTTTGTGCATCCGTTTGTCTGGGTTGTTTGTCCATTTGTCTCCCGGGGTTGTTTGTCTGTGCATGTGCCTGGGTTGTTTCTTGTTTGTGCGTTTGTCTGGGTTGTTTGTCCATTTGTCTCCCGGGGTTGTTTGTCTGTGCATGTGCCTGGGTTGTTTCTTGTTTGTGCGTTTGTCTGGGTTGTTTGTCCATTTGTCTCCCGGGGTTGTTTGTCTGTGCATCTGCCTGGGTTGTTTCTTGTTTGTGCGTTTGTCTGGGCCTGCAAAGCACTGCAATTCATAGGGCACAAGCAGCCAAATGACACCTGGTACCGTAAACAGGGAAACGTTTGCACCAGTTTTAGTTCACACTCACAGTTTGTGAGCACAGTCCTATGTGCACCTGGAAGTGTATACAATGGGGTTATGCATAAAACATGGCCGCCACCTTCCTGAGAGACAGCTTGTCCTATATTTGGCAGGTACAGCCAGTTGTAGTACATTTGTGGGTATAATCGTACACAGTTTATGACCTTTGATGCAGGATTGGTATCACAGTGTGTACCGTTATAGTGGACTTGCCCCTCAAGATCAAATGGCGGGAGCATTACGCATAAGCCCCATTGCAGTCGATTTCATTAGTTATAGGGAGGTTCTGCTCCACGGTATGGGAATGCGATGCAAAGAATCACGAGAACTCTCTTCGCGCTCCGGTAACGTAAAGAAATCCTGTTCTGCTCTACGTTCACGTAGAGAAGTCACGTGGAATGTGTATTGGGACTTTCCCCGTCCATATTTGGCAGTTTTCTGCCTGCAGTTCATCGATACCCAGCAAATCAGTACGCATTTTCTCTGTGTGTGCCACAACGTAGAGAACCTAATCTCCGCGTAGAAATCTGGAGCCAAAACACGCGGAGCCGTACACTCTTAGGGGGTCGTCGCAAAAGTTTTTTGTCGTCCCTGAAACGAACATGATTCATTTGGGGGGGGAGGGGGTGCGAGCCAAAATCGCAAGTCGACCGACACTGTACATATGACATGTACGTACATGCGATTTTCGTCGTCCAGCATAGCAAGCTGTGTTCGTTTCAGAGGGAGGGGAGGGGGTCCGAGTACGAAATGAACGATGTTCGTTTCAGGGACGACAAAAAACTTTTGCGACGACACCTTAAGAGTGTACGGCTCCGCGTGTTTTGGCTCCAGATTTGGCGATTTCACACCCATAGCGAAAGTCACAAACGATTCCAGATTGCACTTGTTTCCTGTTTACAGTATACAAGTTTACAGCGGTGCTGTGTTTTTAGCGCGACCGGCACTTGAGCTTGCAAACATTAGACAGTGGTATGAGTTAGTGCCACTCGTGTATGTGTAGAAAAAGTGTTTTGATGACCCCTGGCCATTCACAATGCTGTCACCTGCAAACCAGCTGGCCACACTTCACACCCATGGGTGACACCGACTCGTGCTCCTGCCGTGTGTTCACGAGTGTATTTGTCGTGCTGGAAACGAAAGCATCACCCCTGGAGTTATTTGAGCTTGGAGAACAATTTAGAAATGTGTACGTGTGATCGTGTTTGTCGCGCTGGAAACAAGGGGGCTCTGTAAGATTTCATCCTTGGCGTTGTTTGAGCTTGAGGAGTCATATATAAATGTAGTGTTCTCCAGGCACACACTTTCTTAGCTGGTTCAAGCAAACGCTGATGATGGGAGAATTCTCTGAAATGCTATGTATTTATCAGGGAGCGGTGCTTCCTTGCAAATACATGTACATGTACGCCGGGTCGAAGGTCCGATAGGCTTCTCATATGTAGAGTATATGGGCAGCAAAATACAACCCGATTAGGAAAATTTACATGATGTTGTAGATGCACTCTATTCGTTTTCCTTTCCTCAATGTTCGCCTCACTAATGTTATTCAGCGCTGTAACAAAATATACAACTGTATGGTATATTTCGGTCCGTTATTGAATCCATCCGGTGGTGTGGTTTGTTTCTCCAGCTGACCGAATGGCCGGTATCCAGACGCTCTTGAAGATGTTCACGTCTTGCGCCAGCGTGATTCACGAGAACGCCACGCGATTCACGTCGCTGACCGGCATTGAGTTTGATGCTACTGGTCAGCTCGTCGGCGGCTCTATACAGGTAAGATGTTGGTCCTGATGGAGGTTGCTGCGTATGGGGTTTCCCTCCCCCAACACCCCCCCCCCTCCCCTCACACACACACACACACACACACACACACACACACACACACACACACACACACACACACACACACACACACACACACACACACACACACACTCGTATTCACTATTGTATGGGTAAGATGCCGGTCCTGATGGAGGTTGCAGTGAATGGGAATTCGGAGAGGCTGATTATCCCCCCCCCCCCCCCCACACACACACACACACACTCGTGTTACACATGTACAGGCACGATGATGGTCGTGACGGTAGATACCCCCCCCCCCCCCCCCCCCCCACCTCCACATCCCAGGATACAGGCATGGTGCTGATTCTGATGGAAGGTGTAATGGGTGTCGATTGGGAGGGGTAGATGATCCCTCCCCGCCTCACATCATGCAGATACTGATCCCCATGCAGGTTGCTTAAAGTGTGGATTAGTAGGGGTGACTCTACCCCAAGGATCACGTCAAGCGTACAAATCCGGGGTCAGAACGAGCATCGTTTCGGGCACTGTTTCCCTGGACTCCCCTAGTCCCGGCTGCCACACCCACCACTATTATGCATGAGTGTCATGGCGTACACACAGTACTATCAGGAGTTCATAATCCCCCAGGGTGCGCAACTGGGATGGGGTTGTGGCACGGCGTAATCCGTCATGTACTAGTATGTCATTTGTTTGGGTCGGACTTGCGTCATTCCGTCGACGCGGTCCACACTTCCCCTGCTCATGATGTCACACCAGGGATGAATTTATCCTGTGTCGCATCGCAGTTTGCGATGCAAAATCGATCTGCTGCTACTCAAAAGTCATTGTGACTCGCAGAAAACAGCGATACATACAGACTATCCATGCCTAGCCTGTGCTGTCAAGTAACATGCATACAGTGCAGTGTACATGTATGTGGTGCAGGCACTCTCAATCTGCATGCACTTGCACTTGCAAGTATGCTTCAGTCGTTTTTGCATATGGGCTTTCAGGCATCACTCTCAGGAAGGAGAATGTGGTAAACACCCCACCTTCAAAGAAAAATGCCACTCAAAATCAAAGACTGCGATGCAAGAGGGATTTTGCATAGCAGAAACTGCTATGCAAAAAATATGACAGTAAATTCATCCCTGCACACTATGACGTGCAACACAGAGTTCGCCGTCCCAGATCTGATCAGTGAAGTTGCGCACTCTGGGGGGTTATGGACTCTTGGTACTACACAGCAACTGCTTGACTCACCTGAACGACTGCCACGACTCACACTAATATGCCTATTGCACAATGACGTAATCTGTAACATCGACACCCCGCACAGCCACCTGGGCATGGTCGTCTGG